GGGCCGTGTGATGCCCAGGTAGCGCTCTGCGGCCATGGCGGCCCCCAGCAGCAGCGGGCACAGGCCGAAGAAGACCATGACGACGCCCATAAAGCGGCAGAGGCGACAGCTGGGGTCCACGGCGTGCCAGTCGAAGAGGATGGCGTGCTGGGACACCACGATGGCCCCGGTGATCAGCAGCCCCATGAAGTCGGTGAGCACCAGGCCGCAGAGGAAGGTGAGGAAGGAGGACCTCCCCTGGGAGCTGCCCTGCCGGGCCCCTGCCAGCACCCTCAGGGCCAGCAGGTTGGAGGCCAGGCCCACGAGGCAGAAGGAGGCAGCAAACCAGGGGGAGGCGATCAGGCGCCGCTCCTCTAGCGTGATGTTCATTGGACGGAAACAGGGGCCCAGAGAACTGTCATTGGCCCACATGGCGGAGGAGCAGGGTCGGAGCGTCACCGCCTCATTGGGCTGAGGCTGAGGCTGTGGGTGCTGCTGGCACTGGCCCTGGCACACCTGGTGGGGGCAGAGAGATGATTTGCTGGTGATTCATTCTGCATTTAATCAGAGTGGCCCTGGTGAACTCCTATACAACCTTCAATGCCCCAACTCAAATAACCCCTCCTTAAGGATGCCTTTCCTGACTTACCTCACTCTGCACTCATAGGCTTTACTATTACTAGCTCTGTCCTGCCCTAGAATCAGTGACCTGCGAGGTGAGGACCTGGGCTGTCTCTTCTGGGGGACACCAGTTAGTATCTGTTGGGTTGAAGAGAAGGGCCAAGAAGCCCCAGGTTTGAACTCCAGCCCTGGCACCTGTTGCATGACCCCAAGCAGGTGCTTTCTTCTCCCCGAGCTTGTTTCCCTGCTGGTCTCCCATCCAAGCCCTTGGTGGACTGCAGCTTCCAGGACAGATTTCAGCCACAGTAAGACAGGACGCATCCAGCGTGGAGAGGGAGGCTAGTGGTCGGCCAGAGCTCACTGGCTTTCGTACCAGCCCTGAGGTCAGCCTCGTGGGTCATAATTTCTCACGAATGCACGAGAGTGAGGCCCCACCCCACTGGTATTTTAGGGAGATCCTTCCTCTCACAGGTTGAAAGTGTGTGGATTATTTTTTTTCATTACTTATTTTTTTGAAATCATGTGGATTCTCTCCCCCCCCATCCCCCACGCCCTCACCCCATTTCTTGGCATCGCTTTTATAATAAGTAATACACCCACAAATCCAGTTTCATTCTGGGAACAAAAAAACAGAACATCTGGAGCCACAGGTCCCCAGGGATGGGCTATAAAAGGCAACAGGAGGGACCTGCTAACAGGCGTGGGGCTGGGGGAGAAACCAGAGGAACATCTGGGCTTGGCTGACGCCCAGTGTGAACAAACCAGCCGATGAGGGGACGGCAAGTAGCAATAAAATGAGAACATTGAGAGGACTCTGTCCCCCTCCCCACGTGGGAGTCTGTACTTGTTCTTCAATAAATCTCCACCTTTGCTATACAAAGAGAGAGAGAGAGAGAGAGAGAGAGAGAGAGAGAGAGAGAGAGAGAGAACATTCAGAAAACAGCTCCCAGTTCCCAAAAAGGCCGCACCAGGGAAGATATAAAGCCACATCCAGGCCCCCAGCCTCCTGCCCCAGGTTCATACCACAGTCATCTTTGTGTTGGAAGTGAGGGTGCACCTGGTGGGCCAAGGTGGGGAGGCGGGATCGCGGGAGGAACAGGGACGGAGGATCCAGGCAGTTAAAGCTCATAAAAGTCCTTTGTTCTTTGCAGAAGGGGCAACAGGCATGGAGAGGTTAACTAACTTGTTCAAGGTCACACAGCTCAGCCCAAGCTGAGCTGGAATTTAAACTCCGGCCTCATTACCTATGTGCGTTCGTGATTAAAAATTCTGCCCATTCGATGGGAGCTGGTGCCAGGTGGGTGTGGGGGTTCACAGTTATAATTTTCTCTAAGGAAGAATAAAATTTTCTAAAAAGTTGGTCAGACCAGATTCAAACCCTGCCTTTGCTACATACCCTCTCGCTGACCTTGGGCCCCCCGTGTCCCCACTGTGAGCCTCAGTTTCCCTTCCTGAGAAATGGGGCTCATGGAGGGAATGAGTTCATCTGGGTACAGGGCTTAGCACACTGTAGGTGCTCAACCCCTGTGAATGTGCCCAGCAGGTGGCCACCAGCCTCACTCCCCATCTCCATAGTGGGGCCTTGGCCCAGCCCCTCAGACTCCACGGCTCCTTATCTCGTCTCATAAATTATCCAGCTCCTGACAGCTGCCCTGAGCTTCCCTCCCAGGCTGAGCGCCAAGGCCACCACCACTTTGGTGCTGGCGGGGCCTCAAGTGGGGAAACTAAGGCCTGGGGAGGCGGGGTGACCTTGGCGGGGTGGAGGGCGTGCTTCCCATGGTGCCGGGGGCCTTAGTCCTCCAGCCCGGGCCAGGGGTGTGCACTTTGCTATCGTAGATTTCACTGGAACTTGAATTCCTCCTGGGACAATGCTCTCCCTCCTCCCTCGAGAGCTGGTATGTGCCATTTCTGAACATTCCTGGGGACTGGGGCTGCGCCTGCGGCCACTGCCCTGGCCTCTGCCTGGAATGACTGTCAGCCCCTCTTGGGTCTCATGGTCCCTTGTCCCCACTTTCCTGTGGGCGTTCCTGCACCACTCGCTCACCCGGGATGCACACCCTGAGACATCCTCATATCTCCCATGTCTGGGATCAAACCTGTGACCCAGAGCCCATGGCCTAGGGGAGACTGGAAACTGGCATGACTCCCTTTGGCCACAGCCTGTGGTTTCCAGTCCCCCCTCACATGGGTTCAGGTGATAGCTACCGGTCTCAAGTTTCCCAGGCGAGCAGGCCAGTAGAGGCACCTGTCAAGGCCTCCCTTCCCTCCCACATTGGCCAGGAGAGCTGACAGGGCCCCTAACCTATAGGGGACCATTCCCATCCCAGCCCCAGGCCCAGAGCAGCACTGTGTGGTCCTTGGGGGAACCCATCTCCCTCTCTGTGTCTCATGGGAGGCATGGACTTCAGATTCCCATCCCAGATTTGCTGGACAAACCCAGGATTCCATGGCCCGAGGGCGGGCAGGTTTAGGCTGTGAAGGGCCAGGTTCTGGAATTTGAATGAGCTCCCAGTTCTGGAACCTGGAAGGCCTCGAGAGTCTAGAATTCCAAGGGCTGAGGTTCCAGAACCCTGACAGGAGTCTGGCTGGGTCCTGAGTTCCAGAAATCTGTCTCCACAGTTGGCGCCTTACCGGAGGCTGGACTATGGGCAGGGCTCCCCCTCTGCCCAGTGGAATGTGATATTTTGGTTCCCAAGTCCAGGCCTGGTCATTGCTTACCCCACTCTCCTTCTCCCTCCTCCATCGAGCCGTCCATCTCTCAAAAAAACCCTCTTCCACTCAACACCCCAAGCCCAGGCCTGTCCGGCCTCCCCCAGGGATGATGCTGACCTCAGACAAGCTCAGATTGAAGTCCCTGATCGACCACTGCCAAGCTGGGGGCTCAATGTTGCTGAGCGTCGGTTTTCCCCTCCGTGAAATGGGAATAACAAGGACATCCACTTGCCTGCTGGCATGGTGGCTGCTTTTCACAGGCCTGCTTTGCTCCCGCCCGGGAGGCTTTGCTCCCGCTGTGTCCCCTGCCTGTGTGCCCTTCTGCACCTGGTCAGGAGATACGCCGTGTGTGTCAGAGCCTGTCTCCTGGCCAGGTGCACACGGGCAGCCAGGCAGGAGCCCTGATACTGTGTGTGACCTCGGCTGGCCCTGCTCCTCGGCTGTTTCCCACGCTTCCTGTCCTCTAGCTGCTGAGGACAGATCAGGGAGGACGCCCTTGGCATGGAAGTGCAGGGTCCAGGCCAGGCCCTGCACCAGTCAGTCCCAGCCCAGCCTGTGCACCCAGTGCACACAGGGAACCCCCTCCACACCCTGTGCAGCCGCAGACGCCCATACGGACACGCCCACAGAAAAGCAGTGCCGCCATCAGCCCCCGGCCCACGCCCACCTCCCTTCACCACAGGCTCCGTTTCCGGGAACTTTTCCTGTTTGTGACATTAACCAGGCCCCTACCCCAAGGGTGAGAGTGGGGGCTCCACAGTCAGCTTGACTAGGTGAGAGCCAAACAGCTTCATTTTCTTTCTTTCTTTTTTCTTTTTTTAAAATATATTTAATTGACTTTTTACAGAGAGGAAGGGAGA